CAGTGCCAGAGAGAAAGAGACAAAGTTGGGAAAGCTTGCTCGCTCTCCAATTTCTCAACTCTCAAGTGATTGTACCATAATAAATGCACCAACGCGTCTTCCAAGATAAAGAAAGAGCACTACGTTCACAACATAAAAAATGGTCTCAGTACATGCACATGTGGGCAGGTAGGAAACCTTGCCCTAATTTATTCACGCCGCATGATTGGCGCAACAAACTCGTTGCAGGACCGAATCATCTACTCGAGCGGTGTGCGTCGCTATGCAAACGCAGTCCAACACGAAGCATAAAAAACGGCAGATTTAAGACAACAATCCGGAGTCCATTATTCAATTAAAACAACGTAATTTTGTTGAAAACGCCCGCTGCTTCTTACTCACGGTATGTGTCGGGATACTTCCACAGTTTGAAACGGAACGAAGGAAGATTTACTTTTAAGAACGCTCGCTGCGTCCTCCCGGACCAGCTGGACCGAATCAGCTGACGACGAAGGGACTGTACCCGTTGAACCTCGACCACGCAACAAACAATTTGCGCTCCGTGTTAAAAGCGTGGTTCAAACAGACCCGGAATACAAAGCACCGCACCACAGACGACGAATGTTTCAGCTCTTTTTCGCATCGCCGGGTCGCACCAAACAGAACGAGATCGCCGAAGTCAACGCCGCGCTGTCGTGAACCCTGGCTTGTGGTTGCGAACTCGTGGACCCTGTGACTCTCTTCGCTTTCAAAGCACACACGACGATTACGAATGCTACTTTCCGTCTTCCAGGAACATCACAGGGGCACTTCTCCGGTCACGTCTTCACTATGTGCTCGCAAACTCCGAAGCTCTATGCGAAGCTTCTCGCGTCCCGTCAAACCCTGGTCAAACCAAAACAGTAGCGGCGCCATGCGTACTTGCCAGATTTTCTCCGGTCAAACAAAAAACACGAAAACCAACCGGCGCTTGCTTCCAGCGTACATCGGCGTTGCGCTTGCGCCGTGGCCAGATCGCTTGCAGTTAAAGGTTGAAGCAAAAACGAAACCAACTGCAATGTCACGTGTTCACATCGAGGACACGCTTTTTATATCCATTTTAACTGTTTGGAACGAATAATTAGACCCATGACTTTATTTGTGGTGTCTAAGAAACTGTTATCAGGACCCCTAAACTAAATACAAACATGGGCGACATGAGGGAAGCCGCATTGCCATCGACCAGAAGATGGCGGCGAGCACGGTAGGCGTGGGTTTCGCCAACGTCCTGCGACATGGCGCAATTGCTTTTGGTGCATATCTGTCTCCGAGACATGTTTATTTCCGCGGCATTTGTCTTGACGGTCCTTTCTAAGTGTGTCCCCAAGCATTCCGGTGCTTCGATAGCCGGCAATGCCGCGGTCGTCGCCGGGGGCGATGCGTGTTATCGAGGTCGGCTACACGGTTATGCGTATATGACCGAACGAAAACACGTTTTTTACAACCTCGCATGATTTCTGAACGAATTATCCGTTACTCATCGTGTAAATTTATGGTAATTTGTGTAAATAGCGTGTTTTTCACCCCAAATATTCGCCAAATACACGGGACTTGCTAACAGTGTACTAAGTTGCATTGAAGTGTTCATCGGCAACTACGGGATAATCGCTTTTCAAGATGCAGCTAGTATGACAGCAGATGGCTTGCTAGAACTGTTTCCTTTTTATCTTAACCTTTGTAGATTGGAATAGCGAATTTTTTATTCAGAAATGGGGTTTGTGTATCGGCTCTTGTTTAGCTCCTATTCTAGCAAATATATTTTCTGCGCACGATGACAGAGTTCTTTTTGACAGCCTAAAAGGTTTTAACGCTATATGGATTTAGATATCTTGATGATCTTTTGTTACTCCTTGGCTAAGCTACACCGCTCCTCTACCCGACGGTGGAAAGTCTTCTGACCGTTTTTGGCGATGCTCTTAATCCACTTAAGCTTACACGTGAAGTATTCATAAAGAGTATTTTACAGTTTCTAGATATTAAACTCACTCTCTCTGGGCAGCATGTGTGTCGAGCCTACCACCCTAGGGTCAATGAGCCCTTGTTACCATACTACTCATCCCAATCAAAGCTGGTTAAAATAGGAATAGCCAATTTGTGTTTCATGAACGACTTACGAAGGTCTTGCCGCCATGCAACGACCTCGAGTGTGACTAAGCAGTAAGAGCGCTCGCTGTGTACCGGTTTTTCAAAGACTGTGCTTGTATCTGTAGCAGAAGGCGTCCTTAAGAAACGGCGGAGGGACGTCAGCCCGCGCTTAGATGCACTCCAAAAGGAGAGAATAAATATGGCCATTGTGCCGTACATGCACAGGACAGCGCACAACCTAGGAAAGCGATATGTGTAAACGTAGAAGTTGTTTTCCCCGCACTTGAAACGCTGGCTTGTTTTAGCGCTCTGTGTTGTATATTCTTGCACTGTCCTTGTCCCCAAGCACAATCACGTTTTGTAATGCACAATATCAACTCGCGCAACAGTCAGCACTTATTCATTTCATGTCGAATATTCATTTCTGAATTCGTCTTTTCCTTCAAGATACTGAGACATTTCTAATTTCTGAAAATGAACGACAGAAGGCGGTAATAAATGTGAGAAACGTCCAAAAAAATATTACTTTCTTCGAGCTGCAAAGTTAGGACTGAGCATCCGCTGGTTCTTCTGTCAATCTTCTGTGCGGATGGATTCGTCTAAGTATTTCCTCGTACACGACACACTCGTGTGCTGCTCGCCAGGTTTTCAGAATAATTATCACATTTAGATCTATTCAGAAGTTGAGTGTATAAGTTTCACCGGTCTCTAGAAGTAATTTAATTGGCAATACACCCCATTCCACAAAGATATAATGCCCTTGTCAGGTTTTTCTTAGTTGGAACTGCTGGACGCGCACAGAATGGAGGTTTTTGCTTTAAATTGGGAGGGGTGGTTGCTGCCGTCTATTATCGTGGAAACCCGTGAAACAGGAGAGAGCCGTCTCTGCTGTCTTGACTAACCCGGTATCTCGGTCAAATCTCGGCTCGTCGGCGGCAGCCCTCTCCTCGTTGCATTGCGGAAGTGCGACACTGTGCACAACGCGGTGCACGTGCATTTCTTTGGACTGAAGATTTCCGAACTGCTCGGGAGATTTGGCGTTGAAGGCGCGCTGTCGAATGTAAATGCGCGAAGTAGAATGTATTCTCCCAGTAAAGTGCTTGGGTCCTGCTTCTTCCATAAGCGCGTGCAGCGTCTTTAGTACTTTTTGCTCTTGTATTTCGAGGAGCCTGTTCTGGCAACTAAACTAATCGCGAGGGGAGGACGCTTATTAAACCGTCAATCTATTTATTACCTCATGTGCTACGTTGTTGCGTCTTACAACTGCAACGATATTCGTTGGGTTCGTTCTTACCTTACTCGTGACGTTGTGGGAACACTTGGGGAGCTACACTTTGCCATGAGCCAGCTGCGGGTGCGAATGGTTCCCTATTGAAGCAAGCTCCCGTGCGGCATAAACTCTCAGATAAAAAGTGCATAGTCTTACACCTCTTGCCCAATATATTGCGTCCCAAAACTTCAGTTTGATGTACAGCACACAGACGTCGAACCGGCGGCACCAACTTTCGCAGACGGCTTGACAGCCAAGTGGTACAACTTAGGAAAGTAGCTAATGCACGTGCTACTCATCAAAAAACTTATTTTGGTTTTTATTGGCCTTACTGCAAAACTTCATTGTTTTTTTTTGTAGTCTTTGATACGCACTTTAGCCATTTAATAACAGATATCAGACCGCCATCAAGGCTCTATTAACAGTTGGGGCCTTCAGTTTGACGTCAGTGCACTGTACACCGAACTGAAGTTGTGGAGTGTAGTGTATGGGACAAAGGCTGTAAGACTACAATATTTTTTCGGAGATTGTACTTGGTCCTGCTTTTTGCGTTCTTATTAGTCTTCTCTTGTGGCGCCCAGTTAAGATATCGGCCTGCGGATCGCACTGTCCGGTGTTGAATTCCCACCGAGCCGTTTGAGACATCTCGCTGGCTACAATTATTTTTCTCGTATGATTAGTACATATGATTAATTACGACTTATAACTCCTTCTCTTTAAATACTCACAGGTTGCCTGCTATGGGCTGTTCGTACTCTGTGTTTCCTTCGCCGATTGGTAACGCTTTATTACTACCCTCGAGCATAACATTTTCGGCATGAATCCGACTCATAAATATATTCTGTGTAATAAATGAAAATTTTCTGTGATATCCTTGGTCTAGAAAAGCAAGAAATATATTTATTTTGCTGTATTGTCTTTTCTGTATATATAGCTACAAAGATTAATTAAACACTTGGGGAAGAAAACACGAAGGTTCAATACTTCAGTGCTTTGTCCAAAAGGTTTGGATTTTAAGTTATATGGCCATTAATCGATAGATTTTCTTACTGAGTTAAGTGAAGCTATTTTATGTAAAATAATGTGTTTTATAACGAGTTCACGGGAGGTCAGTATTGCGGGGCGATTCTGAGAGCAGTTAATTCAGAATCAAGATGCTTTATAAAGGTTTGTCCCGTAAAGAGTGCTTACAATATGAATTTCTACGTCGTGCTTTATAATAGTTCAAAAGAATGCTTTCGATGCTAGTGCGGTCTAGCCCCTCATTTAGAATTTTATTGGGATATGTTAATAGGGAGCGTTGAAAATAAGAACAGCAGTTTGTTTTTGTCACGTAGAATTTGATTTTCGTAAGCTGACATCTTTTCTGTTGACTCCATATGAGCAGTACACACATGTAAGTGACAGGTACAACACATGTATTTTATAAAGTGACGTTCATCTGAATTAAAGTGCCCTTAGGCCAACAAATGTTAATGATAAGAAAAAAACATATTGTGAGGGAGTGTATGTCAGTACTCAAGAAGTAGAATCAGCTTCACGGGAAACGCCACGTTTCCCGTGGTGTTTATTTGTTAAAATATTATTTCAATCATGCGCCTTACCTTTGCACTTTGTTGCTTTTTAGAAAAAGTGGTGTGCAATGAAGAAGAAAAGAAGAAATGCCACGAGAGTGAGATTTGCACTATTATTGACACCAAAGCAGTGTGCACATGTGCAGAAGGACTACAGAGGTTGAATGGTGTTTGCACAGGTTTGTAGAAAAACATTCAATATTTTGTTATGTTTCAGAGACCTACAGTTTTCTTACTCACAAGTGAAACTTTCGTCCTGCGTCGTATATCTCCACATTTTAGCAACGCCGCTCTCTTCATAAGTTTGAAAGCATGAAGTCCATCCTACTGGTGACATCCTTCTAAGTTTCTATGAGCGGTTGGACCTCAGTAGGATGACAAAATGTGCGCCGTAGTACTTTGAAAACGTGAGATCATTCCCATTAAGGCTACTGATGAAATGCGATGGTCTAATTTATGATCAGAGTGATATATTGTGCCGTCATGTGAAAACAAAATTATATGGCCATCGCAATGGACGTCAAGCAGCCGCGATGCTGTTTTAAGACGAGTATTGAAAGTTAGGCTACTAATTTTGATGCAAAGTAATGAAAACGAAAGCCATCATGACTATTCGACGCATAACTGTAATAAGCTGCAGGTGTGCACAGAGCGTTGTGGGGTATCCTGCACAGCATGACAAACGTTACACTTCTTACTATCCACAAGTGTGCTACGTATCTCTTTCGAACGCAGTCATGCATTACGCTTTTTCGCTTATGTTTAAACGCAGAACCGTAAGAAAAATAATGTGATCTCTTCCAGATAAGTGTACCACGAAGTGCGACCACAAGTTCGCGAAGTGCGTAATTATAGACCGCTATGAAAGGTGCACTTGCATCTACCCTCTCTCTAAAACCTCCAATGGCAATCAAATGTGCACTTTAGGTAAGCGGTGCTAATCTCTCATCAAATTCTTCGGTTGTTCTTTTGATATCCTGTTATCTTAAATATTGCTTTTAAAAGTCGAATTGTTTAAAGAATTCTCTGAATTTGTCTTGTCATTGGGAGACATCGAAATACCATTCCACAACTGCTGAAGCTCGAATATGTACTCGTTTTGTCAGTTGAACTAACGAATAATTCAGCAATGTTATCAAGAAAGCAATCTCAAAATGATAAACTAGCTTTCGAAAAAAATCGTTTTGAAATTTGCAGAGGTGTCACGCAATGCAAACCTAACGCAGTACTTAAAAAAACAAAACATGGTTACGTACACTTCCTGCACATAAAAATACGTCACTTAAAAAAATATACACTTTTTTATTTGGGTCTAAAACATGGCTATTTGAAAAAAAAAAAAAATTAATTTGTGTAACTTAGACTGAAACGGTGTTTTTTAGTTAAAAGTTACACAGATGACTACACAACTATGCTTCGTAGATGACTGCGGCACACCATTATCTTTTATACTTCACACACGTTAATTAATCTGCAATGTTTCATTAGCCTATTGAAGAGAAAAAAAACAGCTTAAGCTGGTCCCAGCTTCAATCTGGGTTATTCCCCAGCATGCCCAGTTTGGCATGCTGGTCATGCTGGTTGATCTTATCTCAGCTTCAAGCTGGGTTATTGTCCCAGCATGCCCAGTTTGGCATGCTGGTCATGCTGATTAAAGTGGTCATGCTGGTTGGCTTTCGAACCTCTTTAACTTGTTTAAATTGATAAACAGGATAAACAAGCCAAGCTCTTTAGAAAAGCCAACTCGTCATCCATTATATTATTTTCGTATTTGCGGCCTGCTCACATGAGGTCAGATGCTACATATCCTCGGCGCTGACACAGCACTAACCACCGCAGAGATAGTGGTTCTCGGTGCAAAACAAACAATGTTATTAAAACTAGACTGCTTGTCTCCGTACACGAAAAACACTAGAGACATGCCGAAAGCAGGCAATAACAATAGAAAATACTACACGGATAAGAAAGCGAACCTGGGTCTCGCCAGTGATGGGGGCGAAGCGGTTCTTGCGTGGTCGGCAGAGGCGAGGAAATCCGTCTGCCTTGGATGGCATTGGCGATACTCCTCTGCACCACCGCCATTCACGAGCACACCCACGTTGGAACACACGAAGGGACGCCTCAGTCGGGACGTCAGACCTCTTCCCGCAATGAACGGAGTGCCACTCGCTGTCTCCTTAAAACGTGCTTCGCTTGCACCGTCGTTCAGGTAGTCTCCAAACAACGCCCACACAGCCGTCCCTTTGAAAATATGCCAAATATAGCCAAACGTGTCTCAAATTATCCGTTCCTACCACTCTCTTCCTTTTTTCTCGCGCGCAAAGGCAGCGCGCCTGAAGCGCCCGCCCTATTGAAAAAAAACAGCTTAAGCTGGTCCTAGCTTCAAGCTGGGTTATTGCCCCAGCATGCCGAGTTTTGCATGCTGGTCATGCTGCTTGATCTGGTCATACTGGTTATGCTGGTTGATCTGGTTATACTGGTCATGCTGGTTGATATGGTCCCAGCTTTAAGCTGGGTTATTGCCCCAGCATGCCCAGTTTGACATGCTGGTCATGATGGTTAAATCGGTCGTGCTGGGGGACTACCCAACCAATTTAACCTGTTTAAAATAATACACAGGATAAACAAGCTAAGCTCTTCAGAAAAGCCAACTCGGCATCCAATCTATTACTTTCGTACTTGCGGCCTGCTCACATAAGCTCAGATGCTACATATCCTCGGCGCTGAAACAAAACAACCGACGCACATACAGAGGTTTTCGGACAAAAACAAGCAATGTTATTAAACCAGATTGCTTATCTCTCAACACGAAAAATGCTAGACACACGAAAAAAACAGGCAATAGCATTAGAAAATACTACACGGTTGAGAGAAGCGAACCTGTGTCCCGCTAGTGTGGGGCGAAGTGGCTTCTTCAGTGGTCGGCAGAGGCAAGGAAATCCACGTGGCTTGGACGGCATTCGCGATACTCCTCGGCACCAGCATCATTCGCGAACACACACACGTTCGAATACGCGAAGCGACGCTTAGTCAGGGACGTCCGACCTCTTCTCACAATGAACGCACTACCGCTCGCTGTCTCCTCAAAACTCGCTTCGCTTGCACTGGCCGTCGTTGAAGTAATTTGCAGACAACGCGCACACGGCCGTCCCTTGGCAAATCTGCCCAAGCTAGCCAAACGTGTGTCAACTTCTCCATTCCTACCACTCTCTCTCACTTTTTTCTTGCACACAAAGGCAGCTCGCAGCGCGCAAGTGCCCGGTCGTCTACCAAAGACGAGAGGACAAACAACAGGACGTGGCCTTGCCCCAGCCCAAGCTGACCTTGGCGCGCGCGCTCCCAGCAGTGCCAGTTTGACTATTTCTAACCGACCTTGGCGTGCGCGCTCCCAACAAGACCAGCTTGACCACCACGATTTTGAGTTCGACCAGCTTCACTAGCTTGTCTCCCAGCTTGACCAAGTTGGCTGCCAGCTTGACCACATTGGCTCCATGGAAAACCAGTTTGACCAGTTTGACCAGTTAGGACCAGACTGGCTCCCAGCTACACTAGATTGAATCTAAAACCAGATTCTAGTTAGACCATGCTGGTTTTTACTTAAACCAGACTGATCAGTTCCAATTCTAGCTTGCCCAGCTTAAACCAGCCTGACTGCCAGTTAAACAAGTTTGACTACCACATTGACCAGTTTGACCAGCTTAGTTACCTGCTTGACCAGTTAGATTTTTATGCTGGTTTTTCCAATAAGGTACTCATGACAACACCGTGTGCGTGCCTTTGTTATGTTGAAATATATCAGTTTTAATTTCACCAAATATTTTCTGATTTTCCACAGAATTTTATTCTTATATTTTGGTTTTTCAAACAAACGACACTGAGCCATACACTTCGTCGTTTTGCGACAACAAGCTCCCGGATATTACTTCGGCTGTGAGTATATAATTTGCCTTATAGAGCAAAACATTCACTCGAAATCGATATTCTGAAAGAGTGAAAATTACTCATAAATGCTGTTAGGAACCAGGTTGCTTGATTAAGGATGTGTTAAAGGAGTCTTACCCAAACACAGATTAGGAACAAGCACAATGCACCATTTCAATTACCTTTTGTGTATACGGTACAGTTACCGCCTCCTTAATCGTACCTGTGTGCAGCTGCGTAGTTCGTCACTAAAATATCACTAATTTAGAGGCGTGTTTCTACTTTACATTGAGTAATGTTGTGTATGTTAGTGCGAACTGAAATATTATTGAGGTCGCCTTTATTAAATATTAACTAAGTTTGCTCTCACAGTTCCTGTTTGCTGAGAAAGTAAAGGCTGTTTAGCGTACGTCCCTCTGATATCGCTGCTGAGAAACAATACGAACTATTACAGTCGCGTTAGCTTACTGAAGAGTAGTGCACGGTCAAAATATCTCGCAGGTGGTTGAGATGTTAGAAATATGTCCCCTCCTTCTTGACTCAAACGAATGTATGTTCTTTAAAAACAAGACCTCAACCTTTCCAATGACCGTTGTTGCAAGGTATTTATTGACTCGCTTTTTTTTTTTTTTACAAGGCTACCGATAAAATTCTACTATGAGGGACAGTAAACGCGTGTTCTGTGTTTTGCGAACTTTCATGAATAAACCGATCCATTGCACTCCAATGTGTACGAAGTCTGGGGAGATACAAGAAAGCTGATCTTTGAAAGTAATTGTTTTTGTAGGCTTTTCTGTAGTTTATTTTTGCAATAAATGAAATTTAATAAAAAAATATCATTTGGAAAAATGCACATCTAACAACAATATATAAAAGCGGCAAAACTGCTGCTGACAAGTTATATGCGCACTTTTGTCAAAATTGTTTGAGTTAATTCGTAAAAGAAATGAGGGATTAAAATATATTCCATCTAGAAATGAGAACCTTGCCTTTTTGTAAACCAGCAGCTCTTTTTCGATGCGTGTTTTTAGTCTTGAGAGACTACTGGTGAAGTATTTTTAATTCAAATATTTTTCATGCGAAAAGATAGTGATGTAGACGAGCGACGATAAATTTACCCAAGTGTAACTAAATAGATGGTAATATATCATAAGTCTATCGTAGCTGATTTACTTTTGTTCTGGGTTGGGAATGTTTCACTATTTGTAATGGAAAGTTTCGCTTAAAGAAATATTATATATAGCTGTTTTTTTTCTTCAGCTTAAGGTTGTTTTTGGGAGGGAGCTCCTGAAAGTTGAAACAGTCAGCTGCAAGTGAGTATAGCGCGAAGTTCATTTATTATATAAGCTTGTAATTTGTCGGATGCATATTTAAACGAAGCTATAAACTGCAGAGCTAATATAGTAAGGCCATTATATGTTTATTGATTTATAATTATGCTTTGGTATTGTATACAAAACTGAATAGGCGCTGATGCTGCTAAATCGTAAATTTGGGTGCCGATTTCAGAGAACGGAGGAGCAAAGTACGTCTTACAAGTGCAAAAAAAATATTAAACTACTGAGGCTCCTAATACTCTATAAAAGCTTCTTATGTACTCAGCCTTTCCTATGTCAATGGTATGAAAGCATATTGATGGGAAGTTTCCTAATATTAATTCAAGGCATTGGTTTGGTGATAATAAAATGCCTTCATTTCGATTGCTTGATATTTTTATAAACATAGGAAAGTAGCCTGGTCAAATTAAAGATATCGCAAAATGTAACGTCCCCGGTTTGTGCTTTTCGCAAAATGCATGAATGAGAAATAGTATTTTTAAAAATCGAGAAGCATGAAACATGTTGCGATTTAGGCGTGTAGCAACTAATTGAACGTTGACAATTATTCTAGTTAAAAAATAATATATATATATATATATATATATATTGGGATGGTGGGAATTACTAACTACGACAATACAAAAGATGTTCGCCACGATGAGCGTGACCAGGCACGGATTGACTGTCTAAATGTCTCGCTATCAAGAGCTTTGTTCAGTTCAAGATTAGAGACTAAATGAAAACACGGGTCACTGATTTACTTCAACTTTTCAGAAATGAGTTCGTCTTGCGCCTTGTTTTTGAAAATAAACAACACCCTGCAGTGCTCAGACGGATGAGCAATTGCCAATACCCACAAGGCGATGTGTGCATATTTCCCCCCAAACTGAACGTCAAAGCCGCCTCCCTCAAAGGTAGGTTTACTATAGTTAATGTTAAAAGCAAAGTATAATATCTGTATACTGGTTGAAATTATATTTCGAGAAGTTACAATACTTGCCAAAATTGGTATAGGTACACCGGCTTTGCCATCAAAAAGGTCACATCAATAAACACTTTTGTTTCCAATATTGGACACAAATTTGATTTTATGTCCATGGAATACGCTGATTGCAATATGATAAATGAAATGACTGAATATGTTATAATATCATTTGTAAATTCGAAATAATGAGGTTGCATCGTAATTGCTTCCAAGATTGGCTAAAACTACATCGTGGCTTTGCTATTTATTTCTTGTAATTTTTTAATCACAAGTCTGAGACTACACTCAACTGGTATACAGCGAATCGTTATAAATCAATGAAATATTTATTACAGGAAATATTATTCATTATAACAAAATCCGGATGGTGAATAAAATGGCTTTTTGACACGTTAATGTCCTCGATCCAAAAGGAGACGTGGATTAGAGTTTGCAATAATCTGTTTATTTGTGCTTGATTTCAGCTATTGAAGAAGAGAATTTGTGCGCAGGAATACTACAAGAGCTATTTAACGTCTCGGACGCTTCCTCTGAATGCACTAAAGAGGAAGACAACTATACAATTAGGTGCAGAGAAGGCTTCACAGCCTATGGTGAAGTAAAATCAGGGCGCTTGACAAGGTGGTCCTGCAAAGGCGAGTGAATGATTACTAACCTATTAAAATATCTGCAAATAACTTCGGCAGATGACGTCATTTTTCATGAACATATATTTTTAAATGGGTGCTATTTGGTACTTAGAAATGCGGTTTTGAGCTAATGCGACTCACTCCTTATATATACTTTGCGCTTAAGATGACAATGTTTTTCTTTTCCCCCGTCAAATAAGAAGCTGAAATGGAAACGATGCATAAATTGATTCCGTTTCAGGTTTTTCTTGGTAGACCATTTCAAACAATTTAAAGAGAAGAACATTTATTGCCAGATGTTTATAGCAGGTCATTCCTTTTATTAAGAGTGATTTCGCGTATTTTTTTCCGATGAACGAGAAACGCTATTGATTGGAGCTTACGAAACAAGGAAAGAAAAATACAACGTACGTTTTTATCCGCAAGCCAAATTTGCGAGGAGATGCTGGGCATGGTGTTCACACCCACAAAATCTCAACGTCAATATTTTTGATGACTCTAACTTATCTCTGCTGAACGTTTTGTCGTGAATCACAAGTTTTACATATTTGCGACTTTTACTCTGGCTTAAGATAACAAAACAAATAACCCAGACACACAAACGTTTTCCACCTATAAGAATGGTGTCTTCGGTATATACTACCTACGGCGAAGAAAGGTCGACCAGTCAACCCCTCCAAGTTGCATTCCTGACATGAATGATCTTCATTTCCCTGCAGTAGTTTCCGAATACTGCGCTACTTTCGACTGTTCGATTCGTGATCACTCTGATAAGAGCACCAAATATTCGAACGATGTCCAGGAGAAACCTCTTCGTGGAGAATGCGTTCGTAGTTCGCGAAGCTCGTAAAAATGACTAATTTCGTAAACCGGTTGAAAGCCAGAATTAAGTAAAAGCTTCCTGCCTTGCTTTGTCGAAAAAGGTCCAAGGTGGCCAAGGTGTATCTTGTGGAAAGGCTTGCCGACGTTATCTAAGCTGTGAAGTTCACCTGGATATTTTTCTGAAAACCTCTTCTGAAAGAGGCACTCCAAACAGCAGTATATGTACCCTTCCACATATCGCCTAATTCGTGGAAACCAGTATAGTCGCTTGAGCAGCTCTATCGTGTTGTCTAATCAAAGGTGTCTGAAATCATTGTGTCACTTCGTCGCCATCATTACGCTTTGTGACTTTCTACCCCCTCGTGCTTTTGCCGGAACAACCCAAGATGGTTGTGTTCATTTTTTGCCGTTTTCCTTCCAAAAGAGTTTTCCACTACGCAGCGCATATTCACCCTTTAGTCGCAAGGCTTCTTTACTAGTGCCGCTCTCGAGAAGTTTTTCCTTAATTTTGTCTATTGATCACTCCGTTAGCTGTTCAGCTGCGATCCAACCGTCTGGTTTGATTGACATGGGAAAAACTTGAACGCAGTTTTGCACATCAACCTGACACTAGGTGATTTGCTCAGATCGTCCACGTGACTCATCTTACTGCCTGGTCGGTGCTCGATGTCCAAGCTGTAATTTTGGAGATTCAGGTGCCCAATTCCAATTCTTGGGACGATGTCTCTTTTCCATAAGGCGGTCCTGAGATAGTTACAATCGGTAACCACGTGGAACTCCTGCCCCAAAAATATGGCAGCAGATTTTAGTCGTCCCGACCACCGCGAGAGCCTCAAGTTCGTATGAGTGGTATTGCCCTTCGTGACATGTGGTACGACGGCTTTTGTGTGTGACTGACTTAATTTGACAATGAGCTTGTGTCCGGAAAAGAATCCCACCAAGTACAAACTTGTATTCGTCCGTGTGCCCTTCAGTCTTCGACAAAAGCGAGTAGACTGCCAACGCTGGCTTCTCGATAAACTTTTCTAGAGGTTTCTGAATGCTTGCTCTAAGTCGGTTGTCCATTGCTAGAATTCTCCTTTACATAAAAGTATGTTCAGATGACTCATACTTGTCGCGAATTCTGCCTCCAATCTCCTAAACTAGCTGCAGAAATCTAGAAATCTTCTAAGGTCGTAAACCTTTCCCGGCCTTGCAAACGTTCCGATTTCCTATGGTTTGTTGTAGTCTGCAATAAAAGTGGATGCGGAGATCTCGTATCCGAGTTACAGTATTGGATCCTAAAAGATCGCTTACTTTTGAAGCCAGATCGTTAGGCTGCAGCGCGTAAAATGTGGAAAATTTCCCTGAAAGTTCCCAACTCCACCTCGAGGTGGGAGTGTCGTGGGAATACGCCAGCGGCATATAAACACCATGGCATTCGTGTGTCGCAGAGATCCCAACACCGTGTTTATCATACTCTGAAACACAGCTGGCGCATTCATGAGCATAAACGGCCTTCTTGAGAATTCCTAATGTCCGTCAGGGGTTACGGACGTTGTCTTTGGTTGGCTTCCTACATCAAAGGGCACCTGTTAGTAACCTGAAGCCAGGTCCAAAATCGTGAAACAAAGCTCATGACGCAAGCGGTCCAAAAGATCCTCGATCAATGGAAGATATACTTGTCCTCTTTAGCTGTTCCGGAAGCGGAATTCGTCGCACAGCCGTTTTTCTCTCGTCTTCTTTGTTACCAGGAGGAGAGTACTTGCGAATTCAGACAAAGAATCTCTGACTACGCAAGCATTCTTGAGATCGTGAATCATACTATGCGCTGTTTCTCTCTCTCTCTGTCATGATTGGCGGGGCGATTCGTCCTATACATGTCAGGAGTGTCAATCGTTAGGTCAATTTTAATCTCTACCACGTTATTTCAAACACATTAGTTGCAAAAGCAGTCACGCTTCTCGTTGATGAGGTTGATGATTCGATACTGTATCTCCAACGTCACTGAAGCTCCCACGTTGATATCCTTTATATCAATCAGGCTGTGTTGTTGTCTGTCGTCACAGCGGATTTTGTCACTTGCCAGAGAACTCTCCTCGGTGAACCGTTCAACTCGAACAACTCGTTCTCCTTCATTAAACTTGATGTCCCCACATTCGACGTCTGTTATTGGTGGGACGTATTCCTCACTGTAGTTCTTTAGAGCACTGCTGAGAATACGATGGTCCTGGTCCAGCCTTCCGAGTGCTGTGCATCAATAAAGATGTTTCCCTTCGGCTCTTCGGTAGTGTAGAGTGCTACAAAACCCACATAATGTGTGTGTGGGAGGGGGGGGGGGGGGATTACCGCAGCCTATTTTGGCCAGAGGCTCAGTCGGCGTGGCGCGATTTCAGAAATATGGATAGCTAGCATGCTCTTATCTTCCTCATCAAATTCCCCGCGCTCTTCGAAAATCCATACAGATTTTTTTTTCGGCGTATCAAGGTGACGCATGGCTGTTCTGCGAAACGTTAACCGAGGATCAGTGGAACAACCTGTACGCCGTGAGGTACGACGTACACCTGGACGTCTGCCATAGCGTGATCAACCGTCACCGTTGCTTGAACAATGCCCAGTGGTGTTGTTTTCCCTAAACCGAATCCACTTATCGTTAATGGATATTTTAGTGGTTGGTAAGCGGAATTCCTCTGGTGCGCTGCGGTTTCTCGAAAACTACACACTGATTACCTTTGTTTATGGAAGCCTTAACCGGCTTGTGTAAATATTTATCGTTTGACACCATGCAGCCGCGTGCCATAATGCCTTGTGTTTAAACTGCTGTTTTCTTCTCACTTGAGCTCCTTGAGCTTCTTGTTTGAAGGCAGTCTTTTGTCTCGTGGCCAGCCTTACCACAGTTAATGCATCTTGGCTTCCGTTCTGGTTTCGGGCAGTTGACAGAGATATGACCCAATTCCGAGCAGTTATAACAGCGCAGCCCCTTCTTTCCATCTGTGGGTTTTGTAGTGCAGAACCCAGAAGAGTCGGTGAAACTGCATGCACCTAAGTCTCGGTGCCACACTTCTTCCAAGCTACCCTCATTCCAGACGACCTCTTTAAGCGGGACAGCTCTTATTCTATCCGTTTCAGGAAACCCAGAAGGCTTTCTTGTGTGTGAAATGCCTGTTCTGAGAGCTCGTATGGCCTCATTGTTTAAGTTTATCAAGTAATTCACGTAGTCAGATTTGGGAGTTCTCACAGCCGTACCTTCGAAAGCTTGCTTTAGAAGTACACATCAAGTTGCTCGTTGGGGTACCTCAACTTCGCCTCCTTGTCATGGTGGGGTTTCTATCGGCCTAACGTTGACGGCAATACCTTTTTAAATTCCTGTCTTTATTCAATTCAGGTCCGTCGCGTTGTTGATAAGGCATCGTACCATGTCTTGGCCATGCACTCGAGCTTCACCAATGCGTAGCACGAAGTCTGTTGATCGTTCCAGCCATCTGCCGTGGCCAGGTCGTCAATTCGGTTGATCCATACATTCGCCGAAGAAATCGGCTTCGTCGCTGGATCAAACTCGGACACCAACGTTTTGCTTATTGACTGAGGTTGACTCGCAGTGTCGCGCTGAGCCGTCTTAGTTAAACCAGTGATACCGCTTATCGCCTACCGGAGAAGACTTTTCACGGCTGCGTCCATGATGATCCGGAACTCTGCTTCTGTTGTCGTTTAACCTGAAGAAGCTGCACTGGTTTTGCCTGCCACTGCCGTGCCAGTTGCTACTGTTGACGTCCAAAGACTGTTCAGACTCAGAAGACGTGGCAGGTTCGGAGCGTCACCGTTTATTGGAGGTGCCGACGTTGCTCTCCCTCGAAGCAGTTGCCGCGTTGTGACTTTGCTGCCCAGCCATTTTGCCATCTGCTTTCGTCATCATTTTTTTTGTTACTTCTCTTATAGTTTTGTGGATTATATATCACGTCTGATTTGAAAGGGTTTAAACTTTTTACTTCCTAATAAAAAGGCGTGAATTAGTATAATGACAACTGTTTAATACACATAGTACTGGTGTTGAACTAAAGGTGGTTATTTTGGTTACATGGCTATATCTTTCGGACACACACACCGTGGCATCCGTCGCCGTTGCAAGTCCCGTGTCGAGGGTTGGTCGAGTCCCCTGGCGATACTCGAGCCATCGGCCCCTCGCGCCCCTAGCCGCTCGAAATTAGTGGCCCCTCCGTTCGAGTCATAACACAGACGCGTTGACGGTGCTCTCCAGTCTCGGCACAGTGTTGGAGTCCTCGAAGGCATTCCGTATACGCTCTCTGATGTAAACATCGGATAATGTGGGTGCGTCTCTGCCATTATGCGGTGAAGCCGGATTACCACACGCAGTGCCTTATATCAGTAAGACTATATTGAAGTAAATATGTTACGTGAATGGTCGATAATGGCATAATGATGTTAAAAAAGTCACAACCGAAAAAAGTATGAAGAGATCGTTTTCTAAATAATCTACAATAGGCGCTTTATTTGCGATGAGTGTAAAACATCCATTAACTAGGATGCACGATGTCAATCAAAATTTATATTTATACTTGCAGCAAAGGATCTACTGACATCATCATCAACAGGTAAGATAAAGAGGCTCTAGTAACCGTAAAACGTGTTGGATATTAATATGAAATAACACCAATCGAGTGCTAACAAGAATATTTTATCATATTAAATTGAATAGCTTCAGACTCTGTTGTAATATAAGGTAATAAGTATTATTACCTTCACGACGTTGCAAGTCATCTTTCTGCAGCGGACAGTGTGGGGTTTTTAGAAGGTAACCTGAAGGAGTTTATACATTGAAATAGTATAGCATATTGAAATAAGTTACAAAGAAATCCTGTCAACCCTCTTCAACCCGAAAGCTTTCAGGCCGTTTTGATACTTTCTGATTTAAGGAGAAGAGTCAGATATAAAGTAAGCATACAAACGTAAATTGAGATCCAACGAACGCATCATGTGACTAATTATCAGGACCTGCGAATAGCCATAGTATATGAAATAATGTTTCCTGAAAACCAATTTAAAGCCTTTGTTTACGCTGTGTAGCGATCACTCTGGCTATAAAACGAATAAGCAGATTAGCTCTCGCCTACATCGAGCTTAAATTATTTGTCAAAGTTGAATTTTTCCAATTAAATTTGAACGGAAGGATCCTGAGGTACTGGCCGAAACCCGTATTCCAAAATTCTCTCAAGAGGACGCCAAATATCGTTTCAATTATCTCTACCACCGCTGAAGAGAGCGATCCGGTCACCTTTCTTAGGGATGATAACGCCCTGGACGTTGTTTAACGCTACAACGCTAAGGAGCTTGTGTCGCAGATAGTCCGGCGTCGGTGGCATGGCGAGAAAATTTTGATTGGTGGAAGACCTCGCGCGGGAATATTAAACAAGCTCCATCGCTCACGTGAAACGTGGCGTCAAACGTGGAATAAAAGTGATTAAAAACATGACAGGTATTGCGAACTAAAGGTTGCTGTATGTCCCAAGTGATTGCACTCAATATTGTAATTCTTTTGTTTTAAAGATAAATTTTAAGAAATTTAGGCGGGACTCGAACTTACGACCCTGCGTTTGCAAGAACGAGCTCATATGTTTTTTTTTCGGAGTGGTATCTCATAAAAAAAAAAAAAAAAGATTGAGAGAGAAAGAAGAGCTATGTTTGACGAAAGTGGCCGGGATATTTTATCTGGATAGACACTTGCTTACTTGGAGATGTTTTAGACTCGAGCACCGGGAACAAAGAGCAGGAACTGCAGATACAGTAATGGAGGGGGGTATGTGCTGACTTTTTAGAGCGCAGCTCTTAGGGGAGCGTTCCCGGCTTGAGCGGCGTCGCCGTCGGCGTCGGCGTAACCAAGGTCATCCCAAGATCACGTGACCCCCAGAGGTCACGTGACCCCTCCCCCAGGGTCACGTAATTCCCAAGGTCACGTGACACCCAAAGTCACGTGACCCCCGAGGTCACGTGATCTCTGGGGGTCACGTGACCTTGAGGGGGGTCACGTGACACCTCCCCCAGGGTCACGTGACCCCCAAGGTCACGCGACTCCCAAAGTCACGTGACACCCCCCCCCCCCCCCGAGGTCATGTGACCTCCCCGATGACGTCATCATCCCTGACGACGTCACCGGCATCCGCATCGTCATCATCATCATCACTGATGACGTCATCAGTGACGTTACTGATGACCTCACCGGCAACCGCATCGTCATCGTTATCATCACTGATGGCGTCATCAGTGACGTCACTGATGACGTCACCGGCATCCGCATCGTCATCGTCATCATCACGGATGACGCCATCAGTGACGTCACTGATGACGTCATTGACATCTGCATCGTCATCGTCCTCATCGCTGATGACGTCATCGGAGTCCGCATCGTCATCGTCACTGATGATGTCATCAGTGACGTCACTGATGGCATCATCGGCATCGTCACGTGACCCCCCAAGGTCACGTGACCCCCCCCAGTACCCTACCCCCCTCCTCCTCAAGAGCTGCGCTCTAATTCGGTGTTACAGGGAGTTGTAAACGGCTTCCACTTTATTTTTTTTTTAATTTTAACAAGAATGTAGCAAAAATGATAAAAGTTTTTCGTAGTATTATTTGAAGTTTGGAACGTTTCGCGTCTCCTGTCAAAAGTTCACAAACAAGAGACGGACTAAATACGCCTAGTAGGATTAGTTATAACGTGATAGAATTCATAAATAAACCAGATAAATATGCACCTTCCCCAAATGGCAACATTGTTATCGGAGAGAGCAGACATTTATGATTGTGCTTTAAAGGAACATATTGCATAAAGGGAATCATCTTAGCCAAATGCCTCTTTATGTACACTTTGTTTCAGCTTAAGTCCTGACAAATGTGTTGCTACGCTAATATGACATTTCACGCAGCTTAAATAGCGCAAGTCACTTGGACGTTTCAGTTTATAATTTTTACAGTGATGATATAACGCGTGATAAAGATGACAAACACCATGGCGGTGAATTTTGACGATGTTTGATTGGTCTGATCCGCTCGTATCTTCGGCTGCATCTGGATGTAAAAGTGAAACGAAGTATAGAACGTGGGGAACGAGTCGCCATAAATAAATATCAACATTTTTGTTCCTAATGCGCCCCCATGAAATAGCGCCAAGTTATTAAGAGCGGTGGGAGGGGGGTGTTCCTTACCAGTAATAAACTACGCTGTGTCTAAAGCTACCTCGGACGTATCCCGATAGCAAATTCTGAAGCTACGTCGGACGTACCCGTAACCCGGAGTCTAAAGATACATCGGACGTATCCCGGACTCAGAGTTTAAAAATACGTCTTACGTATATCGATCCCTGAGTTTAAAGACACGCCATCCCGACGTTATCGTGCTTCTTTACTTCTGCAAGTTATGGCAAAAAAAGTGTTTGTTCCATATTTTTATTACACACTGCGTGCTAAATGTTTCTAGCGGTCAAATGCAGCTATAAGAACTGCAGATTTTGTAATATTAGAAGTTCAATGCCTTTTAAACAAGAGGTCTGCGCGCCTTTGAGGTATGACATCACACATAGGGTTCATACAGTACACAAACAAGTTCACAAGTACAGAATCGCTGTTAACCTGGAACTTGTTTTTCATTCACATGAAATGATTACATGCCACTAATAGGCTTATTAAACCGAAAAGAATCAGATTTATTGTCATGTGCTAAATGAACTTCACTAACAGCATAAAGATTGTCATGTGCTAATGAACTTCACTAAAAGCATAAAGATTGTTATGTGCTAAATGACTTCAGAAACAGCATCAAGAGATTAAAAAATAATAATACATCATTGCTTTTCGCAATCGAGTCGTTGAGTCATTTATCCACAAACAGGTTAAAAAGCCTAAGAAGAGCACACATACGTGGGGAAGCATAAATAGAGGGACTGCAGTATGACCGGGAAAAGTTAACAATAGGTTGTGGCAATCTCACATTTTAATCGAGTTTTAGAGCATGTGGCAGCGTCTGAGAAATCAGTGTGTTGAGTTGCTCGTTAGACCGTCGCGTCGTAGGTCTTCCACGCTCTTTTTGAACATAATCATCGTAAGAGGAAACTTCACAAATAGATAAACTTAAATAAATTAGCACATTTTTATGTATAAAAGCATTTCCATCCCGCGACACAAACGCTCCCAACACACAACAGAACCACGTCGAAAAAAAGAAGTAGTGTCGCTAGCGATGGGGATCTGTAACCAGTACGAGCTCCTTACAAAATTTGAAACCGAAACTGACCGAATCGCTATAAAGGAATGCTTTAAAAATGTCTTTAGAAACTTAGGAATAAAAGAGCGTCAATAGAACTGTAGTTATAACCACAACAAATAAATGTCGAAATCATAACTAGCACCGACATGTCATTTCTTTCGGGTACAATGGAGTAGGGAGTGGATTACTTATTTCAACCCATCAAGCTATTTTCTATATTTCTCGTGGAGATTACTTTTAATTTACAAGGAGCTTAGAGTATTTGATTAGCTAACTATTTCAACGCATCGGGCTCCAAAGTTTTATTTGGATTATTGTCCTAAAATTCCGGCAGAAAAACAAACATTGCAGTATGTTGTTTTCCTTTAAATTGTTACAGCATCTTTGATTCTAGCATTAATTTCGAGCTACAAAACTATTTCAATTTTAATAACCTCATTGATGTACAATGATAGTGTGTTACGTAACCTGGGCTGAAACCATTTTTATCAATCGAAAATAATGAGAAAAAAAATGAGCGTAACATTGTCGCATAATTAGCTTCATTAATGTACTTTTATAAATGCTAGCATTCCAGTGTGGACCCATCGTTTGGACGTGGAATAGATATTTGCATCAAAGAGCCCAGGTTGCATAACACATGCATCGACTGAGCCGGTGTATTTCAGACACGGACAATTTTTACCTCAGTTGGATGTTTGTCAAATATATCAGTTTCTTCCAAAAACAACTTTCCAAAAGCACAAAACCATGATCCCATTGATCGGTTAGCCAAGTTGTCTTTGTCATTGGCTGAAGTCCATAGGAATGTTTTATTTTAATTTCTCAGACGCAGCTACATGCTCTGAAAACTTGATTAAAAACGTGATCTTGCTACATGCTATTGTTAACCTTTCCAGGTCGTATTGCAGCCCCTTATTTATGCTTCCCTTCTGGATGTGTGTTCTTTTTAGGCTTTTTATCCTGTTTGTGAATAAATGACTCAACGACCCGACTGGCAAAAGCAATATTGTGTTATTCTTTCTAATATCTTGATGCTGTTTGTGAAGTAATTTAGCACATGACAATCTTTATGCTCTTAGTGAAGTTCATTTAGCACATGACAATCTTTATGCTGTTAGTGAATTTCATTTAGCACAAGCCAATAAATATGCTTCCTTTCGGTTTAATGAACCTATTAGTGGCATGTAATAATTTCATGTGTATCAATTAAAGGTTCTAGGTTAACAGCGATTCTGCACTCGTGACCTGGGTTATGTACTGTATGAACCATACGCCTGTTGCCATACCTTAAAGGTGTACCAACCTCTTGTTTAAAAGGCATTGAATTTCTAACTTTATTAAATTAGCAGTTCTTATAGCTTCATTTTGGCCGTTAGGAACACTCAAGAACTCCCTTTTGCTTTTGCGATGATTCGCAGAAAAAAAGAAGCACGATAGCGCCGTGATGACGTCTCTGTAGACTCTGGAATAGGGATACGTGCGACCTATCTTTAGAATCTAAGATCGGGATACGTCCGACGTACCTTTAGACACAGCGAATAAACTTCTACTTATGAATCCAGCTTGATGTTAACACGTTATCTGAAATTGGCATGATTAAGAGCTCGCTCTGTTTGATTTATTTTTGCCCCGACTCACAAAATCTTAAGATTTTAGGAAATATACTGGCCTGTATGACTAGTGTTGTGTTTTACTCTTTTAGAAAGTAATGCGCCTGAGACCATTTCCCCTGAGGCCGGAAGCAGAGAGACAACCACGTTGAACAATCCTGAAGGTAAGGAAACAACTAAGAAAATGATTAGGAAAATGAGCAATTTGCAGAACTTTCTTTTACTTTCATAAGCGAATAATCCAGACAAACGCTTTAAGAAAGTGTAAATTAGTGTTGATTTTTTTCTTATTTGCAAAAAAAAAAAAAAAAAGAATAGTAGTCAGTTTAACTTTCACTTTTCGCCAAAGGGTAGGAATGCGAAAGCGTCTCACTGCCAACTTTTATTGTATTTGCTTATCTTCCCTATTTTTCGACGCGAGAAACGAATCAGCCAGACAAGATTCTAATATTTATATTTCTTGTGTTCTCTTAATACTCCTTTTTAAGAAAGTAAACCAGAAAGCTTCTTTGATAAGCCTAGCAAAATATAGTCTGAACAAACTTTTACACAAGAATTAAAGCTGTGAAAATGTTTTTATTGAAACACGGTGATATTTAATTATAAGGATACCGTTTTGCCAGATGCCAAGAAAATTAATCTCTGTATCACTTTTCTTGCCTAAAATAGACCTTGATATATAAATGTTGCGGTCAGAAACGTTGGCGCTAATACGCCTTCAGTAATAATCTCTATATGTTCTCGGGTTCTCCCTATAGGAAGTCATTTAGCACATCTTTCGTCCGCATAACGTTAAACCACTGCCTTGTTAATCAGATCACATCTCTTTACACTTATGCACTTTTACAGGTGGATAAAAATAATGATACGCGAAGCTTGATAGAATAATTTCATGATTTTATGTACTTACTCGATTTGTCTTATTTTGGGCAGCATTATTATGAGAACCACTAAGACGTTGTGGCTCACGTTGAAGTGGCGTGCGTACATTGAAAATGTAAAAATAAGCCGAGTGAACGAAATGTAATACGCAAGTCAGAATGATTAATAGTACGATAACGTCAACTTGTGTTTCTGAGTAATTTTGATTATATAAGCATATATAAACTGAGCTTTGAAACATACCGACATTTAAAGCTTTTTAAGGAATTAGGTACTTGTTTATTTGAAGTATTGAAACCTCCTGGTTTTTAACCATTTTATAAGTGAGAGTTTGATTACCGAAGTTAAAATGGTTAGTTTAGGTCCATCAATTAAAAATTTTTAATATTTACGATGGGAAAAATAAATAAATGTCGGCACTGATACTTTAACCTTATTCTCAAAGGATATGTTACATTTTCGTTAAACCAAAGGAAGTTTCATCTCCATCGTGTATGTATGCAATCTTATTCAAATGTTTAGTATTTGATGGTGTTTATAGGTTGGCAACATTTTTAGTGTTCGGCAATCTGTGTCACTTTCGCTATCATGCCTTTACTCTAGGTAAACAATATTTTAAAACAATAGATTTATAAAAGCATTAATTTATAAGAACAGAGTATATTTGTGTCACATATGAATTTGATTGCCTGTTTTATCTCCCGTTTCAAACCATGGTGACTCATGAACGCAAACATCATCACTGAAGCACAATTATCTTCCTGTTCTTTTTAGACCCCTGCATAAGCATTCCTTGCTTCAATAATGGCCTTTGCAAAAAAGGACCGAAAAATACATATATGTGCGAGTAAGTATGTGTTCGAGTATTCCTTAATTCTTTCGCTGCTCCTGACGGCAGAGAGCATTCCTTAATAACGTGGTAAATAATGTATCTAAATATTCACGAGACAAAGAAAAACCTGCAATGTGATGTGACTGAATGTTTGTACATTTAATTATCGGCCTATTTGGAAGGAAATTTGTTGCTACTCCCGAAAAACTTTACAAATTAGGTCCACCTTTTGCTGGTTCAAATGACTGTTTGTCTGGTAGCTTCGTATGAAGTTATCACTATATACATTTTCACAACGAATTATACAATATTAGTATACCAACTTAGTGTGAGGATACGTGCGCAAAGGCGATACCTCCCATAACTGTCTGAACTGCTGCTCCTCTTTAAGTGAAAGGTACAAGGATCTGAATCGCACTAAATTTTACAACTATGCTTGTTGAATTTGTTATGGAATCTGAATTCCGGGATCGATTCGAAATGCAAAAGATTATTGTCAAATCATCACAGAAAGTGAATATCGCGAGAAGATTGTATTTTATTTATTGGGAATATTTTATTGTGTACATTACTGACTTCAAGTGCCTTGAACAATTTGTTAGGGATGAAAGAGTTTTCTAATATGAACTGATGTTTTATATTATTGTACACATTGGACGCAGTACAAGAAAGTGTAGTCCTATCGTCTATTTATATCAATGACCTCCCTTTTAGTACTGCAATCGCTGGTCGCGAATAAACCGATTTCACCAGCCAGGCAAGCAAAAAGCGCCGAAAAAATACAGGGACACAGACGAAGGGAAACAGGACAAGGCGCACTCTCAACTGATGTTTATTGAAAATTCACACTTATATAGCCACCAGCCAGTTTGACTTCGCCAGCCCTGTTGCAAAGCATAGCGTGAACATTAGTCTTTTTGCACGTCCGACAACAGCGCTGGAGCTCTGCGCGTGTGGAGCATGCAACGGCACGAGTCCTCGCATGCACGACCGGCTGCCTTCTGTGAGCTAAAGTTATGGCGGCGTCACGCATGCGCCGAAGGCTTGGTGAGATCGGTCTATTCGCACAAAGTTGCTTAATGTTTAATTATTGCGTACAGACTCGTAATATGTTTATTTGAGTGATATGTCCGATGCTTTAAATATATAAATGAGGTCGAATCTCTTACGTTTACTCACATTTAATTTGTTCTCTTCTCGCCCCTTCGGGTATACTATAATATTTTTGCAAATCTAGCAAAGCCTTAATTTGTTATAAATTATATGAATATTTACTCGAAGAGAAAAACCCAAAGCTCCCATAATAATTTCACTATCTATTAGGTGAATTGCACAACGGGCATTGTATCAAAATAAGTCACCTCTGAGAAATACTACGTCTTTGAAGTATAAATACCAGAAGCAAAAAAAAAAAGTTATATGCCACACTCTACCAAATACCTGCACGCCTGCTTACCCGCAAAACACTCAGAGAGCCAATCTATGCGATCTACGAAATCAGCTCAGCGAATGATGTGGAGGAATATCCGTTTATACCTAAAAATGAAGCCTGTGCTGTTTTCATTGCGCAATGCAAAGCGTCATGCTTGCATGGCATAATGCCACAGCGCAGAGTTAATTTTGAGGTCAGGACAGATGTTCCGCCTCGTTATTCGCTGAGCTGATTTCGCAGTCCGCAGGGATTGGTTCTTGAAGTGTTTTGGGGGTTAAGTAGATGAGCAGGAATTTTTGAGAGAGTATAGATTTTATATTTATCAGTTCTTTAAATGCCATGCCGTCTTGCCTCCGGGAACGAGTGAATTGCCGTGAAGCAATATTTAGGCCGAAGTTATGTCATTTGACACGTTTAACAATATTGGTTATCACACTCTAAAACAGCCAGTGCGTTTACGTTCCCGCGCAAAACTCGGAGAGGGAATCAGTGCAAATTACGGAGGCATCTCAGCGAATGACAATGCCAAAACACGTGTTTAGAAAAAAAAAAAAAAAAAGAAAACGTGCCTTGAGTTGTGACATTAAGCCACGTAAAAACTGTAGTTTGCACTACTTATTGTCGCAACTCAGAGTGCGTTTTTTTTTGTCTAAACATATGTTTCGGAATGGTCATTTGCTGAGCTGCCTTCGTAATTCGCGGTGATTGGCTCTCTGAGTGATTTTGCGGGAAAGTAGATACACTGGCTTCTTTTAGAGTGCATAATACAACACTTAAATCATGATACTACGTTTCAATAAATTTTATTTGTTTAATTAATAAACAGCCCAGTTAATGATAATTTTTATACAGATCAACCACTTCACACGCTAGCCTGTATCTCTATACCTTTGATATTATAGAGGACAAAAGCGCAAAAGACAGGGACAAGTAGAAGATTAGGACAGGTCAGGACAGGTCAGGACAAAGCGCTACTATCAACTGCTGTTTTTAATGTGAAAAAGGAAAACGAGCCTGGATATTGTTAGTGATAGAAAAGGAAGAGGAACGTTCCTTTTCCTTTTCTAAAAAATGTCCAGGTTTGTTTTCCTTTTTCTTATTAAAAACACCCGTTGATAGTAGCGCTTTGTCCTGTCCTGTCATGTTCTTCTACTTGTCTGTGTCTTTTGCGCTCTTGTCCTCTATAATGCTTTACCACTAGCCCAGCAGTTCATAATATTACAGTGACAATCCTTCCTCGACATAGTTTAGGTATTATAGTATTATAATGTATTATACATGTCTGCGCTTGAATACTACTTTGATTGATAGTCTTCCTCGTTTTTACGTAATTTCTCGTTTTTACTTTGGTTTTCTGTTCTTTATCAGGAGTAATTTCGTTTATCTACCTATATGGCTCTCACCCACTTACGCCTTGAGAAATATTTATTATCTGTCCTTAAGGTGTGCACAAGCAAAATGAATAAATTATGCAGCCTATTTATAGTTGAATTGATTTCTCTTTTCTCCTTTAATGATTCATTCACCCAGTAAGTGTATTCTTAAAGCTTGTTGCAAAAAAAGAATATTTAATAGCTTTTAATAGGATAGCTTTGCATATTCAGCGAAAACGGTTAAGGTGTGAAATTTAAAACAGAATAATAATAAAACGGTGTGCCATTTGTAAACCGTTATTTCATTTCAGATGCAAACAAGGATTTTCTGGAGAGCGTTGTGAAAGAAATGCGGGTAAAAAGCGTAAGTATCTTTGCTCTCTTTTGTCTAAGAGCTAATTAATACTAATATTTTAAGAAACTAGTGATGAAAGCAAAAACTCTACATTGATTTGTGTACTTGCAGCTACATGTGTGTTATAAGAAACAAAAATTAGAAAAACAGAAATAGGCAAATTAAAAAAAAAAAACGCGGAGACGCTACGTTGTTTTTGATTAAAGGAATTGCAGATAAAAGAGCTGTTTAATAAAATCCGCAACAAAGGTCGCTGCCTATGTTTCGTTTCACATGAAAATAGAGAAAAAACAGACGCTCGGAATCACCAGACTCAATTAAACACCGAGAAAATGTCTCTGGACTGCACCATCTCCGCTTCGCGGTCCACAACCGGAAGACCACGTGGCTTGTACTCTGCTCTGCATTGGCCGCGATCGCCCGTGCAATCCGTTGTTGTACACTTTAAAAGGAAAGCTAGTGAAGGTCTTTAAACGGTACGATTTAACGGGTGGACGTAATGCTTAAAGCAGAATAATGTCACCCCTAAAATTAAGACCCTAGTGGAAAATTCCCCGTTTCTTTTTTTTACTTTAGAATGCCACCTACAACAAGCAACCGCAATTGGCGGAGGGCAATGCACATCAGGGATGCTTAAACGTGACACTTTGCAGCTCTCTTGAGTTCCTAATTTACATATATGCACTTACTCTTGATTTTCAGTGATGTAGGGATTTCGCGGATGAACTTCATACACTATATCCTTCTACATTGCCTCGATCTATATACTTTGTTACTGTCCGTAGGAAATATGACAAGAGGAAAAACTTTTTTATGAAAGAGTGTTTCTTTTCTGATTTACTTTTAGTTGAGGCGCAGGTTGTAGCGGTCATCACATTTTTAATCGGCATGCAGCTTTCGCTGCGGTGGATGTTTGGTTTGGCCTAAATTATCAGGTGAGATATAATATATTACACTTTGGGGAATCAAAATAAAACGTATATCAATTACCTTCTTTACTGAGTTTGGTTGAGAAGCAGGTGTGCAGTATTACTGAAAAAAACACTTTCATATTATATTGTGCAAAAAATAAAAGATCAAGAAATGTCCGGCTTTTACTTTGAAAGCGAGAAAATTCACTTTCAATTAAATTTTGCAGAAATAACTAAAATAAATTGGAGAATGATAAGCAGGTCGTCCTGAAGGCCTGCGTAAAGGGACTGTTTAGCAAATGTGAATAATATTCCACAAATAGTATTTTATTACTAGGAGTTTAAAAATTATATTTATACCGGCTTTTATTTTTTATGCTTTATAAAGTTGTTTAAAATAGCCGTGAAAGCTAAACTTATGCGCTTTGTGCAGGTGAGGTATACGGCCTAGGGGGACACAGTGCAGATGGCTAAGCGTTACGGTTTAGCCATCTACACTGTGAACAGGTGCGTCCCATGATGCGGTGCAGAAATAGATGCATACCATGCAATTCTTCCAAAACAAAAGCAGAAACAAATAAAATTGTAGAATATTTTGGTTTTTAAATTTGTATACACACCTTCTTTTTTGCTGTTTGTCTAATTAGATAATAAAGGCAGGCTGAATTGTTGGGGATTTCATATATTCTCCTGATTTGAGTTGAATAGCTACTGGTTTGTTCGATTACATTCTTCTTACAAAACAAAATACAAAAAAAGCCGTAGCCAAGTTTGTGATAGATATTGTGTTTTTATTCTTGAAATATTTTGAAATCGGGTGCTTACGAAAGGACAAATGTAATCTAGGTCGCGTGAAAGAAACCCAAAAATTTTCACGAAAAACAGTATTAAGCGTTAAGGTAAAAAAAAAATATTTTTTATGTATAAAGTAGATCGTGACATTTACGGGCAACAGTGGAGCTTTGATCAAATAGAGATGTGAAGTCTGGAAATAGTGAAGTAATACATACTATGTATCCAAAATTTTCAGTGAGATGGAAAAGTCCCTCCATTTCGTGTTCAGATTTTGCCTTGAGTGTTTTTTTTTTTTCAAAAGCCACAGACATAAATTTGGCATAATTTGTAGCATCTACTCAAAATACACATAAGAAAGAAGTTTGTTGTAGATATTCAGTTCAGTAATATTTACTGCATTAATAACGACAGCCCGTCTATACACTGATGCGTTAAAACACGGGAAACTCATTAGGTCAACCCTTGAATAAACTCAAATAGTTAAAATATTCGGAAATTTATATTAACTTAAACGTAAAACGAATAACCTAAAAGACCGTCGTAAGATTGATTTTTTGCTAATATTAAATAAATGTCAAGGGAACACTTTATTCTTGCGTGATTTTATCACTTTATTACAAGCATTACCAATGTTCTCATGGCAATCACTTCCTTCTTTTTTCAGATATCTGTAAAAGGCTGAACATAGAAAGGCTATAAACGTTGTGGAAACTAACGTCGTGTGATGTTGGTCATTGAAGTCCGAAGATTGTTACGCCAATAAAAATACATCGAAATACCTTGCACTTCATGCGCGTTCCTTCATCCAAGATATTGTAACGTTGGACATCGCTTGAGCATAGTTAACGTACTTTTTGGGAAAATAATTGCCTCTTTGAATGGGATTATCTGTGCAGGGTACAGTTGTGTTTAAACTTACTAGGAACACACGAACAGCGTCTTGGGAGCACTATCTTGACGATAGCCAATCAACCGTGTGACATATCTCTGAATAAAACAATCTAAACACGGAAAGCCGCTCGTTTAAGATCGAACTTTGCTGCTGTGCTAAGGGCAACACGTTAATTTTGCTTGTGAGGAGATCTAACTTCCGACTTACCTAGTAGAAAGATAAAACTTTTACTTAGTGACACATCCAATTACTGACCGTTTTGATAGTTACCTACGCACATTCGCTCAAGAACGTAGCAATAACTATACATTTGGGGGTAGGCGAAATCGCTGCAATGTCCACGGTGCCGCGAGCGGCCCCTCTTGTTCGGACAGTTCCACTGAGTGGTGAGTGCTACATCATAAAACAGTTCTTCAGCTGCCAGCGGGAAAGCCCTTACAAATGTCAAGTCACCAACCGCGGGTTCCAGGTAAGTTTTTTAAGCACTGTACAGTAATGTTTATGCACTCTGTCAGGTCTTGACGTTCTCAAATTAATCCCGGAACCATAGCTAAACTTGCTGACAGCATTATTCCGCCGTGCCAAATTTTCTCACAAAGCGCTCCATGCGTTATCGGGTTGGCTCAGTTTCCATGGCATCCTGCAGTTTTCGACAAATACCAACGTGCTGGGAGACAGTTCGGTGATTCCTTTCTTCTTCTGTTTCCCGAGAATACTCTGACAAATGCTGTTTCAAACAAAAAACATCAGAAAGTTTTTTTTAATCCCTATAAACGCTTTTTGGCACTGCTACAAGCATTACAGCATTTGAGACAGTGTAAGTTGTCTTCTTGTGACTATTCTTTACAAACGACGGTACGTGCTTTATAAACAAGAACATATAAACAATATTTCCGATCCGTCTGGCTCGTTAAGTTGATTGTGTGGGTTGTATTAACGGGAAGGTCACCAGATTCTGAAAACGTAATGGCTTATTCAAATCGACGTATTTATATGCTAAAGGAAAAATGCGCTACACACCCAAGACAGTGCGATGATATTTTGAATAAATACTAAGCTAAGTTTCAAAAAAAAAAAAGATTAGCACATGCGGAGGCATCCAGATTAACGGCTTCAAATTTACCTGCTCTGCACAACCGTATGCAAAGCTGAGTGCCAAAACATGACGACTAATGTGGCATGAATCAGCGTCAAGTAGCTTTAGGTGCCATGACCTACCCGACAAGACCAATGAAGGGAATGTGACATGCCTTAGCTGATCACTGCGAGGTGGCGAATCGGGGAACTCTTGAAGAATTTGAGTTCCACCTTTAATTGCTGTAATCGATAACGGTTGTACTTCTACCGATATGTTGAGTTACAAAATTAGAAGATGCGAACTCTGGTGGTGAACTCCGCTTTGGCGTTAGCTGAGTTATATTGAATATGCTGGCATGTTTGCTCACATGCTGAAAAATAAATTAATTGTCACCCAGTTTCATTACTTCAGTCTAATAATGCATCAAACTTGTCGAAACTTTAAAAGAAGTTGAGAGTTTTTGTGATTTTGTTTACGTGATTGTTTCATGTGTCTTTCGGAGAAAGAAAAAAGTTAGGGTCACATTTTTTTAAGAGAGCCACTAGACGTTCAAATGTACACACACGCTTCAAACACATTGTTGAAACATGTTTCTGGCAATAACATATTCATTCAGGCGTAGTTATGTTTATAGATACTGTGCAATTATGTTTTAGAAAATGCACCGACTATTGCCATTATTATCTGCTCGAAGGTGGTGCAGAGGCGTCCAATACTCGTCTATGTAAATATGTAAAATAAAAAAAAGCTCGAACGTCAAGGAATCTTTAGAAAGCACAGTTCAATGAATTTTCAAATAGAAGGAGAATGCGATAAACTTTCATTAGCTTGTCTACGTACATTGAACTTGAAGATAGCTAGGCTTGAATGTCATAAGTTTATATTTGATGAGTTTAAATTAAATGTAGTAAAGTGACAAACGGGAGCAGAGGTTTATGCCGGACATGGGCAGTGAGCAATACATGGATAGATTCGACCTTATTTTTGACAATGTGATAAAACAGAGTCACTGAATCGTTTTTGACTCATTAAATCACCAGAGTTAATATATACATTACACATTGGCGTTTATGCGGCCACTAAATTGTTTTTAAAAATCTCGTTTAAGGCTTATAGTTTATGTTACGCCAGCGCTCAGATTAAACGAACATCAGCTATCTTTTAAAACTAATCATATGTGTCACAATATGTACTTTAGATAAAATACAGCGTATTTCATACCGCAAATATCAATGAAAATAAAACGCTGCAAAACCAAATTATAAATATTTTCCTCAAATTATGTTTTCAATGATATCTGAGGAGGTGTATTTTCGGGATTGGGTAGTTCGAGCGTGGAATAGTTAGAATTCTGTGTTCTTGATGTGTTTGCTTCTGGCGAAAAGTTGAGGATGTCCTTAGGAGTCGATTTTTCCAGCCATCTCGGCATGTATCCGAGTTTTCCTTCGATAAGCATGATATTAAAATAAATTACGAAAATTTATGTAATATATTGATACTTTAAACGTTTTAGTATTCACACAGAGACATAGAATTTACAGAACATTTTCAGTGGCATATACTGCTCCCAGAATTATGTACTAGTGTAAAAACACAACCATTTCGTTGTAAGAGCACGCCAGTCCTAACAATAATGGATCGCCGTTGAGCAGTCGTCTTAAACGTACGCCAACAGCACCTCACCCGCCCCCCCCCCCCCCCCCCCCCACGCCTCCTGTCAATCCTTCGAAGTTTAAGAGGAAATTATAGTGGCGGTTTTCCACCCTCTGACCTTGCGCTTTACCAAAACTGAGACAATAAAACTATTATGAAGTGTCCGGGACTATTTCTTGCTACCTCATTCCTGATTATTAATATTCCGAAGACACCTTCGTTGACACACCTTTAACCGGCAAGTACTTTACTAATTATTTAGGCTCCGATCTCTAGCTCGAAGTACCGGCCTCCTTTCATCCGGCAGGCTCATCCGCTCTCCGTGAAGATGATAATGGTAACGTCGAGGCGCTAGATATAATTAGAGATTCGCTCCGAGATATTTCTGGCAGTTCTGAAACTGCATGGCGGAGACAACACCACTTAAACAAAAAGTGCGCAGTACAGATTTGTTTTAACACTATGGACTTTTTATTTAGGATGGCTGAGGTGCCGTACGTCTAGTATTCGTAACGATAGTGACTTTTCTTTTTGCAACTGACAAACTCCTTTTACCATTCTTCTTTTTTTTTTTGCAAACGGAAAAGAGAAGATCAACGGCGTCGCTTAAGGGGCATTCACACGAGGGAGAAATACCGGGGATTTCTCCCCGGCACGCGCATCCCACGACGAAAACGTCAGGCTTTGCGATGTGCAAAAGCCTCACGTTTTCACCTCGTGATGCGCGCGTACCGGGGAGAAATCCCCGGGATTTCTTCCTCGTGTGTATACCCCTTAAGCGACGTTGTTTTTGTCGACTAAACTCTACCAGAGAGGCCAGTATACAACAAGCGTAACAAATATGCCGTTAAGCAAATAAAAAGGATGCCGTCTGTTTGGGCGGAGTGGTCGAACACGTCATGAATTATTCTCGCCTTTTTCCTCCCTTTACTTTTATGCAGGAAGGTTTATGCAACGCCTTTTAGATAGCGCAGGCTGCAGTGCTAGATTTTATACGTCCGCTGATACAGGTCAGCACAAGACACAGTTTGAACGCGAGACCTGCTTCAGCGTTCTGCTGAGATTTGTTGTCAATGAATTTTAAACAGAGTCGGAGCCAAACACGGAGCGTGGAGCTCGTGCCCAATATGTGACCCGAAATGGCGGCTAATAGGGGACACAAATAATTCTATACCGCGGCCATTGCTTCCTACAAAAAGTTTGTTAAGCTTGAATTGCTCGGAGTATGAAAACAAATGTATGACTCTTGAAAGCTGCCAAGAAAGATACCAGTGCACTTGCTTTAGTACAAAGCACCCGGAGAGGCAAAAAAAAGTGACCGCAACTTAGCATACGGTGAGATTGCCTCGACCAACGCAGATTGATAATTAAGTCAATTAATTAAGTCAACTATTATACTAAAAAGAACTTTGGTAAGACCGATGATGAAATACGAAAGCATCATATGAGATCCACATACATCATGTTGTATTTCAGAGCTTCAAAACCTTGAGACTAGCACTGCGCTTTGCGTATAACACGTACTCTTCTTCTGTGTCACGTACCCACATTTTTATGTATATAGGTCTTGAAAACTCACAGAAACAAAGGAAAATTAATCTTTCGGTATTTTTTTAGATCGATGTTAATGACTAGGTGGGAAGAAGTAAATACAATTATCTTAAAGGGCCCAAGAAACACATTTTGGTATGGTATAAATCACTTTAGATTGGGATTTTACTAATAGCACATCGGTTTAGTGGGCCAAGAAAAAAAAGGTAGAAAGTCAAAAGCCTGACTTTCAGTGGAAACATCTCAAAGCATAGTGGACTATTTCGTACTTCCTCCCCTTCGTAAGCTCACCGCCTTTTCACTGTGATACATCCGCGGTTCCCAAAGAGCGTCACCGGATCCAAACGCACGTCACACGATACCGGAGCTCTCTTATTCTCTTCACCCCATAGCTGACATTGTGGTGGAAGCTACGCGCTTGCCCGACCAATCAGCCGCCTCTCTTTCATCACTTGACCTCATTCTCTGCACGAATTCCATGATACTTGGCAAGTAATTTGCAAGCTGGTAATATAAAAATAAAAAAATTCAAAAGCGGTGCTCTACTCATGTTTTCTTCGCTGAAAATCACAAGACTTGCAAGAAGCGATTTAGCTGCTGCAATTAACTTA